CCCCCCCATTCAAAGGTGTCCCTCTTTACCAATCTGAAAATCTGGTCACCTTATGTTTATCCCTGCTTATCTGGGCATTGGTTGCTGGGGAGCATGTGTTCTGTCTTTTTTGTTTTTTTCTTAGCTTTTTACTGTCCCTCCAAATGATATGTAAATATCATTTATCACTATATGTAATGGATAATTTGTCCAATAGCAATCTTCCAGGCTTCCCTAACATTTTTGAATTTAGTTAGTCTACTTTAGTCTAGGATGCTCACAGATTCCCAACTGAAATTATGGCTGAGTCTGGTAATGTATTATGAGATGAAGGAGGTTTCATTGCATCTTCTGACTGCTAGTTGATGTTTCATGCATATTCTCTTTCTTTTTCTGTTCTCTGTTCTTTTTATTATTTCGGTATATCAGAGTAATATTTTGGGTTGTATTCATGAGACTGCTATGGTTTCTAGAAGTTGTATTACAATTTCTGCTGTAAATCTTGAGATTGGGGATCCCATGGATATTCCTCTGATTTGTTAGTGTATTTGTCTATCAAACTGAAAGTAGGTACAGAGGCAAAGGTTGAAAAATACATTATTTCCAGCAACCAACCCCCAGATCAGCAGGGATTAACAGCAGACAAGCAATCAATCAATAATATCCTACCTAAAGAAGTAACAAGGAGAAAATCACATCTACCAATATTGGCAGGCTCCTGTATTTAAACAGAGAGTAAACTTCACACTCACAAGCATTGATAGTGTTACCTAGTTCAGTAATAAAATGTCTGTAAGCAAACAACCAAGATCAGAGAGCACCAAGGATTTCATAGCTAATACCTAAGCTACATATATTCTCTTCTGACTCCTTAATTCTCTAAAGCAGATTTTTTGTGGTAACAACAGATAAAATATGCTTCTATTTCTGTCAATGCATGGTTATCATGGCATTTAAGCTTAACCATATTTGTTAATAACTGTAGCTGTTTAAGGGAAGATGGTTTTGTATCAGAACACACTTTTTACCTTGTCATACATCCTATTGAGCAGCCGGGGCACTACTGGAAATAGTGTTGGCTTCAGTGCTTTCATGTCATCTACAAGAAGTTTTATATCACCTTGGAAGAATCCCACTTTTCCTCCAATGCTGTACACTGTAGTCTAGAAGGCAATGAGAGAATTGAGTTCAACCTTCTGCAAATCTATACGTTCCCATATTGTAAGAGTTATCTGATATCCAGAAATCAGATTAGATAGAGCTGACATGATTAGAGAGAAAATGAGACTACTGATTATAATCACAACAAAGAGAATGAATAGGAAACCACTTTCAGATCATACAGATTAAAGGTGTGACTCTAACAGTTCAATCATTCCCATATATATGGAAAGAACTAGTTTTGCTCTTCTTGTAACCAAGGAACCTAATCCACATAAAAGCATCACATGTTTGGTAATAAGGGCAAACCATAAATTAAAAGGGAGGAGATTTCAAAGTATTTCTAGCAAGACTACAACAGTCTTGTTTCCTATGTGATCTGCCTTATAACTCACAAGATTCCTTTTTATTGCCATGTACAAGTATACATCTGAACTAGACTGTGTTGTTTCTTTGTGTCATATAATATATGTGGGTATATGCATAATATTTATTTATTTAGTTAGTTAGTTATTTAGTTAGTTATATATTGAAAGTGGTGATCCTTTGAGAGCTGTATGCAACAAAATTTCATTTTAATATATGCCAATTAGCATTTAAAGTGACAATAAAGTTATTCTAAATTGTAAATGACATATATTGCCTAAATTAATCCACATAAGAGTTTTTAAAAATCAAGAAAAAGCATGATATACAGTGGGTCTGCAAGGAATGGTCCAAAAATGTAACGGAGTCAATATGAGAGCCACAACAATGCAGTTGAAATTCTGCTATTTATGTGTGCTAAGTATGCAGGCCACTGTAAAAATGTGCAGAGCTTTGATTTATGGAAAAACACAACTTAGAAAATACAATTTAGAAAGGCATTTACCTGCACTACTCTTTCAAACATATGAGCTAGAGGAAGGTATGATATGGTTACATCTGATGAATCAAAATCAGCACTTTTCTGGGGAAAGAAAAAAAAAATCAATAGTTGGGATCATAGTGCTGGTTAGTTCAGTTGTTGTAAAATGACAACAAAAGTTGTCCTTCTAAAATTCATGAACTGACAACAGTTAAAAACATATTACAACTTACTTCTATGATCTTCAGGAAGGAAGCAGAATTTGCAACAATATTTCCATGTGTTAACAAAGCTCCTTTAGGATTACCTAAAAAGATATTTGGGACAAATATATTCTTGGCTCTCAAAAACTAGAGGACTAAACTCAATCTAGATTAAAAGCATATTGGTTGTGCTTTTTCAAATGTTGCCAAATTTTACTCTGAAGCACCCACTATTCTCTGCATGATTAACTTTTATTAGCATTAGTTATATAATTAAGTGTGGTGCCCATCATCCTTCCCCCACTATTTCCTGTTCTTGAAATTTTAAAGTATTACAAAAGAATAGCAGGTGCCTGGGGTAAATTGATGCGAATTGGGTGCAACTTCTGCAATCTGGATTAGAACACACTTGGAATCAAGATTCTTGTCTTTTCTCCAACAGGTTTAACATACTTTTAAAAAAGGTGATTGCAGGTAAATTAATCAGGACTTTTAAATTATATAATATATTACATGATTCTAATAGCAAAGTCACAATAAAATGACTTTTAAAAGAATGCAAAATAAGTGCCAACTCTCATGTCTGCATTAATAGCAATAGCACTTAGACTTTGAGTATATACCACTTCAGTGCTTTACAGCCTTCTCTAAAGGGTTTATGGCATATTGCCCCTAACAATCTAGGCCCTCAGTTTACTGCGACAATTTGCTATTCAAAGGGTCAAAACCAGCAATTATGTGATACCTTTCAAAGGTATATATAGTGATAGCCTTTCAAAATCTAAATAAATAGCATCAACAATTCTTAAGGCTGATCCAGATTGAAAGGACAAAACTAAACAACAGATTAAGAGTACACACATTACTTCTGTTAAGGAACCTTTGAAAGACATGCATCTTTTCTGAATTCCAGTAATTAACATACAATCATGGTGAAAGACTTGGTTTAAGATACATCTGACTTGGCAAAATTCATTTTTGCCCTTTGAATCTCAGTGCATCCATAAAAGCTATATTGGAAGCATTTTTGTTCAATCAGTAAATATATTATTATATTTAGGTCAAATATTATTTAAATAAATAAGACATCTGGCCTAATATTCCTTCAAATTACCCACCTGTTGTGCCACTTGTGAAACAAACAACACAAAGATCATCTGGTTTGGGAGGCTGAAATGAGATAACAATTTAATCCAAAGGGGTATTTAATATTACACCTGGTCATAAATGGGCAAAAATTGATAAGTGAAGGGAAAAATTAGTACTTACAACTGGTCTGCTATAATTGTCTTTTCCTAGTGCCTGTATGGAAAAGGAGGAAAAACTACACTTGAAGAAACTTCGGAAAAATATTTTCAATGACATTTTCCTAAATAACTACATTTCCAAATTGATAACTTGTTATATCTACATGTGGGGAGACTCAGGACCAATAAAATATAGATAGTCCTCCACTTATAACCATTCATTTAATAATTGTTCACAGCTACAGCAACACTGAAAAAATAACTTATGGCCAGTTTTCATACATATGACTTGCAGTATCCCTGAAGTCACATGATCAAACTTAGGATGCTTGGCAACATATTGTCCTGGGATTGTCATTTGCAACCTTCCTAGGAAGCTTTTGACAAACCAAGTCAATAGAAGAAGCCAGATTCACTAACTACTTGAGAGACCGCCTTCTGCCAATTACCTCCCTGCGACCAATTAGATCTCATAGATTAGGCCTCCTCCGAATTCCATCTGCCAGCCAATGCCGGCTGGCAACTACAAGGAGGAGGGCCTTCTCAGTAGTAGCTCCGACCCTTTGGAACGAGCTCCCCGTGGAGATTCGTACTCTCACCACCGTCCAGGCCTTCCGCATAGCCCTTAAGACCTGGCTAGCCCGTCAGGCCTGGGGACAAAGATAGCCGCCCCTCCCGAATGATGAATGAATGTTGCTCATTATTTTTACTTATGTGTGTCTATGTCATTGTTTGTATCCCCCTTCCCTGATTTTATGTGAGCCGCCCTGAGTCCCCCCAGGGAAAAGGGCGGCCTATAAATGTTAATAAACTATCAAACTATCAAACTAATGACTGCATTTAACTGTAGTGATTTTCTTAATAATGATCAAAAAGGTCATAAAAGGCACTGGTCACTTAACAATTGACTTGCTTAGCGATTGAAGTTTTGGACTCAATTGTCATCCTAAATTGAGGACTACCCACAGTTTATTACATAAAGCAAACTTGAATTATATAATTCAGTGCTGGGGAATATGGTGGCCTACCAATATAGACTATTGTAAAACAGCTGGAGATAATAATTAACAACTATACCATCAATGGCATGTTTCCTAAATGTGACACATTAGAAATAGTAGAAGAGATATACCATTCCATCTACTTTTGCCAGTTTCTCCAAAAGACCTCTGTGTGACACAAAATCATGGATTAAAAGGCTGTATACCTAATAAGGTGTTCTTCTTATATAAAAGTGTAAAGAGCTAGAGATATTTTTAATATTAAAGTCATGGTAGAATTGACTTCAAGGTGACAAGTTCATTTAATTTACCCTTCTATGAAGCTTCTATTCTGGGAGAATCATAGCTATTAAGAATCAATACAATATAATGTAGTGTTTTATTTGATATTGCAAGGCAAAATAGAGAGGAATGACTGTATGATATTAATGATTAGATTCAAAAATTTGAGATAACATTGTAACATCACCAGAATCTGCCTGATAATGTTTGTAAAAATGCATATAAGACTAGGAGGAGGATGGGTATGTGCAATGTCCAGTGAAGTCATAACTATATAGGTCAAATACTATACTTTTGGTTAAAAAAACTAAAAAGAATACATATAGCAAGAGTTTTTATTTTTAAAAAACTAGGGGGGAAAAGAATACACATAGCATGTTTTTATATTCTATTTCTCAAATAGGTCAACTTCTTCCAAAAGCATTAGAATATATTAGTGGTCTTTGAACATAACATTTAGTATTACTTGTTCTAAGACTCAAGATTATATTACAAAGAGAGACTTTAGTGAACATGTCTAATCTACTAGATTTAAGGCTAATTCTCAATTTCAGTCAAAGCAATGGTTTCTTAGAAAAATCCATCCAATACCTCAACTGCTTGAAAAGAAACTACTTCAATTCCCAATGTAACTCCTTTTTCTTTTAGGCTGCCATCAAAAGGATCCATCAGAATAATTGTCTTTAGTACTGGCATTTTCCCTTCCTTGCAGTTCTCCAGTATTGCGTCTGCTTTTTCGGGTTTATCACAAATCACTGTTGAGATGTCAGCTAAAAGAATACAGACAATTAGAATGTTTCATCTAACTTCCAGGTGGGAGATGAGGAAATATGAACACAAGGAGAGATTTTGCTTACTAGAATGCTTCCCTTTGATGTTTTTGTCATTGGCATCTTATTAAGTAACAAAGCTATTTGTCTCTGTAACAGTTTCAATAACTACTTTGGATAGACTTTATTTTGCAGCTTGCGCTGTCAGGATTTGGCAGCCTACTTTTGATAGCATCAGGGAATATCAGAAAGGACACTCAAACATATATGACTGATACAATTTTGGATTTGCCTAGTCCTAATCCATATTCATTCCATCATCCCTCCCAAATATAGGAAGCAAAACATGTGTTCAAGTGCCTCAAAATGTTGTTTTAAGAGCACTGTGCTAGTAGCAGAGGCAAATCTTTCTACTTTCTCAAATAAACATTATTAAGATTCCCTCTTGGATTGGTCTAATGCAGGAAAATAGTGGGAAGGAGGGTATTAATAGCAATAGCACATAGACTTATATACCGCTTGACAGTGCTTTACAGCACTAAGTGGTTTGCAAAGTCAGCATATTGTCCCCAACAATCTCCTTCATTAATATTATTAATAATAATTATTAAATTGATTATCCCTTATATATATAGCTTTATGAAAGGACCATCAAGCTACCACTGTGTGATCTTCTGAAGCTTGTTCCATGTGTTAAGGGAGAAAGCGGCTTGTCTAGACTGGCAAAGGAAGCCCATTATGAATATACTTATCCCAAGAGAAACCTCTTCTGTACAATTAATCTTAACAAGCTTTATTGCTAAGTTGTGATTCATTGTTGTGATTGTGATTTTTTTTTTACAAGTAAAGCATTATTGGTCATCTAATCACTGAAATTAAAGAACCAATTAGTTTTACTTCCAACTGAATTTTCATTGTTATTTCTGTTATTGTGATACCGACTTTATTAAGCTAAATGAAGTTCCAGAATCTAATATTTTTGATGTTATTCCACAGATTCAGTTAGTAAAAGCCTTGAATCTACCTTATTTCTAATATGCTGAACCGGACTGATATTAAAAGATATAATTGCCCAAGTTATAAATAAACTAATGAATCTGGAGTAATGGTTAATTTCTGGGGAGTACTGGTTAAAGCATAAAATTCTGGAAACAAGGTTGCCATCCATCATCAGCTATAGAAGTTCATTAGGTAACTCTGTTTTCCAGCAAAATCTACTTTATAATATCGTTGTGGGAAGAAAGGAAGATGGCAGCACATGGACCACCTCTTGTAGAGAGGCAGGGTAAAAATCCACTAAATGAAAATGAATAAAGAAACAGATTATTATTATTATTATTATGTGGTTAATCTTTGGTGAGATTCATAGCCTTTGGGACTGGTTGGTAGCTCAACAGCTCGAGTCCTAACCAAGGATCTAAGAACTATTAAGGTAACATTGGAGGATATAAGCTGTTCCAAGTAGTGTGGTTTTTTGTAGAATCAGAATGTTCAAGTCTGATAAATTTAGAATTTCCAAATAGCGAGGTAACCATTTAGGTATTGCTCCAAGGGCTCCAATTATAATTGGGACAACAAACAATTTATTTTTCTACAGTTTTGCTGTACTCAAATCCAAACTTCTGGCAGTTTCCAGTGAATGGTTTTAGCAACTTGATCATGGCGTTGTAGGTAGTCAGTTTGTGAAATTTTGCTGCACCCACTGATCAAATGGCTGAATATCTCATCTTTCTCATTATAAAGGTGGCATTTGCTGTTGGTGGTATCATGCTGAATTTTTGCCTTCATGCAATTTGTGGCTAAGGCTTGTCAAAATAAAGCATTTGGTTTCTTTTTTCAGTACTCCTGATCTTAACCAATTCCAAGTTATCTTTTGGTCAGCTTTGCCTTCAATACTTTTCAAGTATTGGCCATGTATAGCTTTGCTATTCCAATTTTCAGCTCGCTTCTCAATTACTTCCTTCTTGTATTCAGCTTATGACTTTGTTGTTGTTGTTATTTGCACAATCAGCTGGATGTTCAGTCCGGGTTTGGCATTTTTGTCTACCTATCGAGTCCTTACCAAGGACCTGGGATAGGCAAATCTGGATGTTTGATGGTGTTACAGATATCGTCGCAGGGTGGAAGCAATTCCAAGCAATTCCAATTGCTTTCTGCAATTGACTATTGGCAAATTTGTCAATGCCTATGGTGTTCAATTATTTTGGGACTGCAGTTGTTTTGGGACTGCACCCAAGGCACCTATTACTATTGGTACTACCCCTGCTTGACTTTGCCATAGTCGTCATCATTGTCCTCCTCTTCCTCCTCCTCCTCCTCCTCATTATCCTCATTATTATTATTAATAGTTGGAATTAAAAACACTTGAGAAATTGATGAAATGTTTCCATTTCTGGATTTTCTCCATGAATGAATGAATGAATCCCCATTCAGAGGAAAAGTCTTACCTTTATTGACAATGTACACAGTTGCTTCTGCACCCAAAGTATCATAAAGGGGAACTACTACCATTGAGTAAGTGTAGCAGGCAAGCTCTGAGATGATACACTATGTAGGAAAACGGGGGGGGGGGGAGAGAACATATCATTCTATATTCAGGCTGATCATTCTCCTGTCAGAGTACTAAGTAACTGCAGCACTTGTGTAAACAGAACATACTAAATGCTCTTTAGAAAATCTTTTGTACAGCACATATTAATTCTATAAAAATAGTCAGAATTCCAATTCCACTTGGATTATTTTATCCAACACTAAACAATAATAATTCAAACATAGTAGGGAAAGAAAATCCTCTATATTATATATCATTTAATGTGTGGATGGCCCAGGGGAGTGAGGGGAAGACACCCTGCTTAGAAAATAATCAGTCAACCGTGGCTGGAGTCCCAGTGATTTAATGGTTAGAGGAAGAAACTTAAGAAGGACCCAAAATAATGGATCAAGCAGTTAAAATTGACAGCAAGAAGTCTGCATTTTTTGTATTGCCAAGATTCTGTTAATATAGCCTTATAATGTAATAGAATTAGTTCATCTAGCTGTTTCTCCTGTCCAGTTTATCTAGGAGGGAGGAATAATATATGTACTGGGAATGCCAAGAATTCAGGGAGTTGACAGGAAGTTCTTCAGCTGGACAGACATGGGGGGGCTGTTCTCAAGAGCCTCACATGAACCCTGTTTGACAAACCAAATTCGAGGTCCATTTGGACCTGAATCCCCTGGAGGGGTGGGCGAAGAGGACAGTGTCTCATTAGACCCAGGGGGAGGCAACAGATCCCTCGCAGGTCGGAGATTTGTCTTTTGAATCGAAGTTGGGACTACAGCCTATAAATATGGCTAACAAGATGCAGAACTTCATGTCAAATCAAAAGAAACAACAGGAGAGTTCAGAAGAGTTGAACAGGAAAACCTGGAAATGGCAAATAAATCTTGAGAACATAAATAATATTGATGGTCAGATTGGAACTTTTCCAAAAAAAGAAAGAAAGAAAGGGAAAATGGAGGGTTGAAACACCAGCTCCCCAAAAGTTATTTTTGAAACAATTTTGGACAGAAAAGAGGAAGCAGAGAAATGACAAACCCACTTAAATATAAATTTTAAACTTGGTTTTGGATTTAAAAAAGAAACCAAACACTTTGAAAGATTTATTCTGTTTGAATTTTTTCCAATTGATAAATCTTAACTCCCCCCCCCACCAAAAGAAGAAGAAGAAGAAGAAGAAGAAGAAGAAGAAGAAGAAGAAGAAGAAGAAGAAGAAGAAGAAGAAGAAGAAGAAGAAGAAGAAGAAC